CCCTTTTAAAAATAACATCCGCCTCACAAACAAAACTGTTGCTTGTAATTCAAGTGAAAAAGCAGTAATCACAGACATGACATCACAGGGTCATTTAATGCCCTGGCGTCAAACACTGAAGCCTTTTTCCCCCTTTTTCTTTCTGACCTGCTGGGAAGGGTTGTGCTTCCATCACTAGGTGGCGGTGTTGAATACCAAAACGTCTGCCAGAGTTTCTCAATGTAGTGGAACTGGAGGTTCATCACCACATCCAAAGTAGCCTGCAGGAGGGGAAGCAGGGGAGGGAATTGAGGGGGAGGGAACAGAGGAGGGAAAAAGAGAGGGAGGAAGAAGGGGACAAAACACACAGAGCTGAACCATGGCAACCAGACACACAACAAAGTTTCTACAGCCAGGCGGGCTGCCTCTCTCACACTGCAGGTCCTCCTGGTTAGACAATGAGCCAGCTCAAACACAGCTCCCTGCACATTAATCACCAGCAGAATCTTAAAGGCCACACTCGGGCTTCATCTGAACGGGTCGTTTAATGCTTTTTGCATTTTATTTCACATAGATTTATGCTTCCATCTGCCTACTTTTAGTGACCTGCGCTAACCCATGTGACTTCCTTTTTCCTGTTCAGAAACCCCTTTGAAAGGAGAGCATGCTGCATACAAGTGAACACTCGAGCACAAAGGAAGCAGTGGCAGGGTTCAGACCTAAAATGATTTGCCGCTTCTATAACTAGAGTCAGCACATAACCCCCCGCCCCCTCGAATCCAGCGCTGCGCAGATTTTTTGGGGCCGTTCATCAGGTCAGAGGAGGTTAGAGTCTGGACTCCACCTGAAGCAAAAGGTCAACCTGACAATCTGAAACTGTCCACGCCGAGCCTCTGCTGAACTGAAAAGTTTGATTTGCACCGTGAAATTCTCTGCTTTCTCTATCTGGCAGGACACGCACTTGCTGCTGGATCTTGTTACACAGCAGCGTAGGCTCAAATCACATGATATGTTTTTGCTTCCTCTCCAGCCATCGCCATGGCAACCGTGTTTACAGTTGCCCCCAGCAACAGGTCAAACACAGAACTCCAAAACAAAAAGGAGAATTTCCCATCCCCTCTTAAACAGGAGCTTTTT